TGTTCCAGATATGTTTTGTAACTGAACTAATCACAAATACATTCTCAACCATCTTTTCCTAAAGCAATGAACAAAAAGTGTTTATTAGCTGATCTTGAGAGCAAATTTTGCTAAGTTTTAGAGCCAGGGGGCTTATTCATTTAAATTAAAATCACAGTATTGTTATTGAAACTTACACCTCAGGGTTTAAACCATGCCTTCAGTGCCATGAGTGACATAAAAAATACACTAATCAGAAAACCTCTTGCGTCATGGATATTAATAACTAACTTACTGAACATGAAATGTGCTGGTTTTCCTGAATGGGTATCAGTAAAATACATGTTGTCACCACATATGCCATTTCCTTTGTGTTTGTGCAAGTGTACAGTGGAAGGCCTAATCTGATGTTGACTATTGTATTTGTGAATTTTATAGAGATTTCTATCACCATGTGCTTCACCAGGACTGTCCACTAGGGGGTTAAGGAGTACAAAATCCTTGGAGTTGTACTCTTGGTCTCTTGAATCCCATTATTGCTTTTGAAGTATGAGTTTTTAAGGAAATTAGATTAAAATCATAAGGATAAATTAACATCAGTTGCTCCATGATCACTGACTCTTTGCTATCATCGTCAGGAGGTTAAGTTTCACCCCCTGTACAATATGGCAAGAAAATCTTTGCTGCACCGTATAGCTGATCTGTCTTACTGTGATTTGGTTGCCTACCAGTACTCCTTCATTCCAAGACAGTTGGCTTAAGAAACAGCTTATATGCTAGTGCCTTGTCATTTAGCACTTTACTTGTGCTAAGTGTCTGTTGTAAAAATCACTTAGAACTGAATTCTTTCTTTTTCTTTTCCTTTAGTACTTCCTCTTTCCACATTGCAGTTGCAATACACAACCTTTCCACCAAGTGATGCTAACATATTTTGAAGTTTAGGTTTGAGCTTCTCAAAGTTGGCTTTTTGAACCCTTCTTAATGGTATAATTTATGATACAGTGGCATGTGTACCATCATGCAACTTGATGTTCTGTCAGCTTGATGAAAGATATGTCTGTTGAGTATGGAAAATTATAGTTTGGACTTTAGTGATGATATTGCAATTGAAAAAATGCTTACAGGGTAGTATAGGTCTGTTCAGGGTGATCACTGGAATACTAAAGACTAATTTCCTGCTGACTAATTAGCAAGTGACTTCTATTCTGAAGTCATACACTGAACACAGGAAAAGGCATCCCCAGCCCATCAGTGAATACCAAAAGCCAGCAACTATTTAGTCAGGGAATGCAGTCTAACAACAACAAAAGAGATTCTCTTACCTCCTTTTGAAAATAAGATCAGTAAGAGAAGCACATTTTAAAAGCTATTCTCCCATCCAGCTATATTTAACTCTTATTCTCATTGGACAAGGTACCACTGCACCAGAATATTGGATGCTCTATAAATAGGAGTGCTTAGATATAAACTCTACCAGTTTTCCCTACTACAGAATATTCATATATTTTCATCTCAGAGAATTTTAAGAGGCTTAGATATTATAGTAAAAAATAGGATATTTCAAATGAACCAGAATTGATCTGCATCTAAGTGGCTGGGTTTAAAACGATGGTGTCCCTGTTGACAATTTCAAATTCTGTAAAAGGTATAGTGGCAGGTCCAGAGGAATCCTGGTTGCTTCTGTCAATATTTTCCTCCATGACATTGAGCCTGAGAGTTCACGTTTCATGTTTTTCGGTTGTTAACTGAAGAGATTGAACCAAACGATCTTCTGGGTCACTTTTCTTCTCTGTTAGTCTTGAGCTCACTGGAATCCAAGTGGACAATATACAGTTTATCATTCTATTTTAAAGCTAATTCTAGGAGACACCCATCTTTTCATTAAAAGCTGTGTTTTCTAACAATCTTTGTGATAATGACTTGCTCTTGAAATAATTTCCCTTGAATAATCCTCTTGCTTTTCGCGTTTTATATTTTCCTTAAAAATAGTCTAGGACTACAGTCCTACCTCCATCACTAGCTAACTGTTGTTAGTTAGTGCTCCATGTTTAACATTGTGGGCTACATTTTTCTCATCTCTGTAAGTGATTTAATTGTGTATACCTTCAAAGAGTTTTTAACAGACGTATATAGCTGTACAGATAAAAAAGACCAATCTTTGAGCCTAGCACGTGATGGTCCTCCATAAATTTATTTACAATTTGGCTGATGTACATTGTTTACAAACATACTCTTTCCACACTTATTAAATGTCCGTGGATTATGGGAACTATAGAAAAATCAATGAAAAAGCTAATTGGAATCTACAATTAGTATGTTTATTCTTTCAAATTACGTTCATTCATAAAATACTTCTTGAGTACCAGTATCATTTACTGCAAACAAGCCCTCACATACTCATAGAAAGATACAGCTCCTTGGAACCTCAGTTCATAAACTTAATTCTTTCCAACATTCTGGTCACAAACCAAATTGTACAAGAACCAAATCAGACTTCACCATGGTCAGGATTTAACCTATTGAATTTGATTGAGTTCTCGTCCAATTCAGTTTGTGACCAGAATCATGGAGAGAATTAAGTTCATGAACTGAGTCACCACTGTATGTTATTCCTGTCATATATAGTGTTCACGTGCTAGCACTAATCTGAACAGCTTTGAGTAGCTTAACTCAGTCTTGACGATAACCCTATGATACTGGTATTACTGTCATTTTACTTAAGAATGCAGCTCACATGAGGAAATTAGGCCACGAGGAGACTGAGAAACTTAGCCAAGATCGTGTATTATAAATACGGAACCCAAAAGTGAATGTAGAAGGTGGCCCCAGAGTCCACATACGTGGTCATTCGGCTACCATTTGAAAGTCATTTTAAAGAATCATTGGCTCTAAGGAGTTCTTTTTCTTTAGGGGTTGATTTAAACAGCATTTCTAGGAAAAGAAGGATCGAGAATAGGTACACTATAGGGCTTTGATGACACATGACCTGAGAGATGGGGGAGACATCCAGGGGGGTTAGATGGGAGTGGAAGGGCACTGGCTCCATCCTGTCTCCATACATTGGCCCGCCAGGAGACTTCTTTTAAAAAATATGTTCCTGCCTTCATGAAGTATTTCTGCCTAAAGAAGCCTCCTCTCATAAAAGTGGCTTTTGACTCAAGCAGAGCAAGGAAATAAGAGTGGATGTCAGAAAAAGCTGAGAAGTGTGAAGAAAGATGGTGGGAATGGGGCGCTTTTCTGTCCAGTGTCCTAGTAAAACATGTGTGGAAGTTGGGTTGGATTTCATGAGTGAATTTGGGATTTTGCCACCAAATTCTTTCCTCTAGAGCTAATATTCTCATGAGATATTAATATTAATACCAGGAAAAAGGCCCTGGGTGAAGAAAATTTGTTTTCTCCTTTAGGGCCTGAGTTCTTTCTGGACAACAGCGATGTGAAAAATTAAAAAAGAAAGCTGGTGGAATATTATTACCCTCAACAAACAGGGAAGCAGTCCACAGTCTGTAGGATTCACTTCAGGAAGCGGAAAAAAGGAAATGTAACAGCCTAGTGTAGAACCTTTTCCTCTGCTTGGAACCCCATAGGCTTTCTCCATGATAGCATGAGGGCCTTTGGTGCTTGTCATTGTTCTGGTCTGATTAATGTCATCAAAATAGAAATCTGAGGTATACGTCACTGAAGTGTGATTGTGTCGTGCTTTGAACACGCAGATAACACTGGGTGGATGCATTTACATTTTATGAATTTCATCTCCTCAGTCCTTTTATGGTTTCTCTGAATCACTCTTTTGGAGCATTCTAAACCACCCAGAAAAAAAAGACAAAAAAAAAAAAAAAAGCTTTGCTCAAGCAGCTTTACTTAATGGATAGCTAAATGTCCAATTTCAAAGCTGTTGCTTATAAAAGCCAAAAAAGCTTTAATATAGGCCATATAACTAAAACATAATTTTTCAAAAATGGGGAACACAGTAAATTACAAAATACCATAGTATCAGTAAGCAACTGTTATTTCACTAAAGTTTATACTCTTTTTGGTCCTTTTCTGTTTTGGAAGTATATTAATTTTGTTTGTTTAATTTATGTTTCTTTGTGAGTTTGTGACTTTTTCTTGTATGATGCAGTTTATATTCACTGTTTTTACACGATCAGAATGCTGACAATATTGCTTTCGATTTTTATACTGAATAAAAAGTAAACATTAAAACACGAGATCACAAGGAATACTCATGAGATCACAAGGAATACTCACAAACTTACATCTTCGACTAGATTTTTTTTTAGCCATGAGTGGTTTGCACGGAGCAGTTACCTGGTTGCTTGCTGTGGAATAGTTTACTGAATGAACTTCCATGTTAGTCACACTGGAGATAGGAAGAACATCATGAACAATTTAAACAGGCCTAGGAATGCAGGCCTGCTTTGGGCAATTTCATTCAGTAAAATATAATCAATTTTAAAAATAAGCTTATTTTTATACTGACTTGCCACATATTGGGAAATTAATAACAGAAAGCAAGCACCTTCGGTATGTGTAGAGGATATACCTATAACTCTTTTGCCAATAAACTATATCTTCAGATTTTTGACTATTAAGGACTTGAGGGGCTGCAGTTAATTGCATTTTGAGTTTAAATTAGGGTGATGAGAAATGCATTCTGGCTTCAACTCTTCCCGTTGAAAACCTGCCTAAAGTATATGAGTACATTTTTTAAACCATCAAAACAATGACTTTTATCATTTTATTCTTTTTGTGATTTAAACCTGGCATGCCTCAGGGACATAATTTTCAATATCAATCATCATTGTGCAATATGACAAATAGATAGAAGATGAAGGGAATGAGACCATCTGCATTACGAGCCCTAGAGTAGTGAGTAGTCAATCACCACAAGGACTCTATTACAAACTAGCTCCGTGCAGATTGCTAGAAGGGGTATAAAACTATCATAATTCTTCGATGTAGGGAGGTGTCTTATGCATTTTAAGATCCTTAATAGCATCCTTGGCTTTTTGTTTTTGAAGGAGCAGCCATAATGGACTTCCTATGAATGTAATAAGAAGACAAAAAATGGAAACAGCAGAGGTCAAGGGAGATTTTGTAGAAAAAACAGGTTACGAACAGGATCTTAAAGGATGTACAGCACTGGAAATTTACCCCAAGAACTTGATGACTCCTCTGTACAAAACCATAAAGAAGTCACTGGTAAAAATGATGAAAGCAATTTAATTAATCTGCATTATATCCATTGGATACATCATGAAAATGTTTTAAAGACAAATTATTCTTAGGACATAGATGTAGATTTAAATGTCCACTATGTGGACTAGAATGAAATTTTAGACTGTGTATACTATTCCCAATGTGGAAAATGCCCAGCTTCAAAGGCTATTATTTACAAAAAGCCAAACAAGTAATATAGAGCACATGATTAAAAAGCAACTACCTCTCAGTGTATGTTTCTCTTACTTTCTCTTTTTTTCATCATCCTTTATGTCTTCTTTTTCTTCTGTTTCTTCATTTTCCTTCTACTTCTTCCTTTTCTTTATAGAGTAAGCTAATGTGGGGCTATGAGAAAAATCCACAGTTATAATCATTATATTTGTTTCCCTGTAGCTTCTGAAACAAATTACCACCATCTACAAGCCATAAACAGAAATATAATCTTTCACAGTTCTAGAAGTCAGAAGTTCCAAATCAGTTTCACTGAACAGAAATGAAGGTGTCAGCTCTAGAGGAGAATCCAGTCTCTGCCTCTTCCAAGTTCTAGTGAGATCCAGCATTCCTTGGCTTAGGGCCACATCACTCCAATCTCTGACACTGTAGTCACACGGCTTTCGCCTCTTCTCTGTGTGTCAGATTTCTCTCTGTGTCCCTATTACAAGGACATTTGCGATGGCATTTAGGATCTACTTAGACTCAGAGTTATCTACCCAGTATCAGGGTCTTTATTCATATTTTCAAAGACTCTTTTCCCAGTTTAGGTAACTTCTACAAAATCATAGAATTATGATATTAGAGGAATTAGGTATCATCATTCAGCCTACTACAGTAGAAATGTTACAAAAAGTCCTCCCTTTGACATACAGCAAGAAATATTGTAGCAGATAACAGATAGATAGATAGATAGATAGATAGATAGATAGATAGACAGATAATTAGACTTCACCTGATCCACTGATATATCTCACCTGAAACTATGACAAAGTTGTCATTTGCACCAAATGCATCCTCTGTTTTCTTGAATTGTCTGAACATACCTTCCTGTCAGGGATGGAAAAGAAAGACATTTTACCTGCTCCTTAACAATTCTGTAAGCACCAGTCAAGCATACACAGTATGTCCAGGTCCAGGGATGTGCTCCTTGTGAGAGATTTCCTACTTTTCTCAGACTTCAGAGGCTTTTGGGACAGGGGTTATTTTAACATAAACCAAAGACATCTTCAAGTATTATAACCTCATATATCCAATAACTCCTATTTCAGTGTTAGCTAATTTGATATTAAATGAAGGCTGTTCCTGTAAAGACACTTGGTTTATCAGGAATATTTGATTAGTGTTGTAACTCATAGAGAAAGCAGCTCCATATTGTTGTTGACTGAGAGTGGTTTCCTGAGGTCAGTATTTTGTGACCTCAGTATCGTTAACATTTTGATTTGGATAATTCTTTGTGAGTTGTTTTATATATTTTAGAATCAGCATCCCTGATTTGTACCATCTAGTTGATTGCTGATAGGGTCTTTTTTCATGTAACAACCAAAAATGTCTGCAGATATCCAGATGTCTCTTGTAGGTGAAATCACTCTGGGTGAAAATTACTAAGTACCAGTCACTGTACTAATCACTATATTTATATTAATGAATGTCAATGTTACAAAGGCTCATAAATGAAGGGTCACTATCACACTAAAGAAATGGAGGCACAGTGATATTGAGCAAATGGGCTGAGGTCACACAACTTTGTAGAGCTAGGACTTGAACCAGCACTTAGGATTCAGAATTTTTTACTGGAGATAGTACAGCTGCTGTCCAGTGCTCATTTAAGAAATTACATGCTCGGGGCTGGGGGTTTAGCTCAGCGGCATAAGCACCTGCCTTGCAAGCAGGCGGTCGTGAGTTCGATCCCTGGTACCGATAAAAATGAAAAAGACAAAAAAAAAAAAAAAAAAAAGAAATTACATGCTCAGGAGCTAGGGATTTAGCTCAGTGGCATAAGCACCTGCCTTGCAAGCAGGCAGTCATGAGTTTGATCCCCGGTACCAATAAAAAAGAAAAAAAAAAAAAAAGAAATTACATGCTCAATGGTTGTAATTAACTATAACCATGAATGAAAGGAGGGAAAGGATTATTTCTTGAATCCATGCAATAAATAGAATGTACATCTTGAGACATCCATGTGTATTACTTTATTTAATATTTATTAAGGCCCTGTGGAGTTGGATCCCTAAAGCTTGGTCTTTTTACTCAAGGTATATACCAGGATAATAGGCAGAAACATTTTGACCAGCGGTTTTCTGGGGTTTTAGCCATATTATTTGTTTTACTTTTTCTACTTTCCTTGAATTTTAGAAAGATGTGGAGAAGAAGAGTTTTAATCTTCATCTGTATCTTCTAGTTCAAGTATCTTGTTGCATGAAAATACCAAACTACTTAGAAGTGACACACGGACACTTTGAGCTCTCACTCCTATATCCTTGACACTTTCTGACAGGTTGTGGTAAGGTGTACAGGTGCAGGTGGGTACACAGGAAGCATGGACTTTGGCTCTGCTACTTCTCTCACCTGTGACTGCCTTAGTCACTCATCACCAAGACCAAGTACTGGACACTCACAATGTAGAGAAGGAAAGCGTTATTTTGTCTCACAATTTGTAGAAGGTTCAGCCCATGGATGGCTTGTCTCCAGGCAGAATGGCTTGGTAAAAGGACCTAGGCAGAGGAGAGCCACTCACTTCATTCCATCCAGGAAGCAGAGAGAGCTGAAGACCCAGGCAGGGAGACGTAGCCTTCCAGGCCATGCACCCAGTATCCCACCTCTTCCAAGCAGACCCCATTTACAATTAGCTAGTCAGTTATAAGCCGCATAAGCCCATCACCTCTCAAAAGCCTCACTTGTGATTACCTAAAGCTTTCTGGGGACATCTGTATATAAAACATAACATTGACCTAGGGAAGTCACATCTGTTTTCCTACAAATGTCTCGAGTTTTTCTTTTTTAATAGCAGTGTTTTTAAATGGAAATTTTATATATACCTGAATTATGAGTTAATCGGGGTAGAGGGGTTGACCTCATAGTTAAGTTTTTAATTATAGGTATGGAAATATATGGCCATGTATATCTAGGATTCAGAGGAGAATAAAAAATCCTAGAAATATGGAAGTGTGTAATTTTCGGGGCCAATATTGTGAGTTTTACAACCAAAATATTGGAGTGTATTCTTGGTACTTCTAAATGAGTGAAGAAACTATTCATCCAGTTTGAAGAAATATGTGTCACATGTAGTCAGTTTAATAGATTGAGACCCCGAAACCTCACATGTGTTACCTAAGGAAGATGCTATTTTTTAAAAAGTTGATTAAGAAGATGTTTATATATAGTTGCCTTGCTAAGAATGTGGGTCACAGTTTAAAGAGATACCAAACATAATGTGATAATGCTGCATGTCTACTCAAGACAACTAGTGGAAGTGTCCTGAATCACAAATAGCCCTACACTGGAGAATTCTAAAAGGTCATTCAATACATCTCTATCTAGAAAAACGCGAAAAACAGAATGAGTCCATTTCAAGATTTCAACACATTAAACTTAGTATGTTATGAATTTATTGTTGAAAATATTAAATCTCATTACTAATTTAATTTCATCAAAATGAAGACAGGGAACACATTTATCAAATAGGCATAAACCAGTAATATTCAATTAGATACGATTTTTAGAAGATGTTTCTACAATCCTTGCTTGTAGACCAAGACTGTAAAACTCTTATTTCATGTAAGTAATAATGCTATCATATTCTGGTTATAAGAAATAGTCATGGTGAAAATAAAAAATGATATATTAACTATCTGCCATTTCAGCAAATAACATTATAATAGCAAAATCTATGTATAATTGAGTAATTTTTAACTTTCTCTTTTGCTTTCACTTAGTAATGGGAATAATAAAAATTTCACACTAAGAAAAGAACTTGGAACTCCTTGCCTATTATGATAGAAATTGACCTGAACTTGAAGTCAGGAAATGATGAAATGACAAACAAAATTATCCCAATTATTACTCCCTAAAAATCATATGGATTCATTCTATAATATGATGTAGGGAACCAGAAATAAAATAATTCTGTTTTTATCAAAAAATCCCATAACTTGAACTATGTCAATTGAAACTTTACATTAGACAGAAAGGGATAGGGGAGAGAAAAATCAGTTAAGAAAGGAAAATATAGATTCTGAGTAGGAAGATCGAAGAGAAAACCTGATGATGTAACACACACAAACACACACACACATACACATAAATGTATTTGATGGTTCTTGATTTGAAAGGTAAAGGCTCTAATATGGGGCTTAAGTGTTCTTTCTGGCAGTGATATGCAAGTCATTTAATCTGCTCATCTAAAGTAGAGACAAGTATGATTTATAAACCACAGGTAAAAAGAATAGAGAGCCCCCACTAGCCTTTTCAAGGAGCCAAAATGAATAGTGTAAGGGAGAGACAAGCCCAAGGAAAAGGACCTGGAAGGTGCCAGCTCCCACTGACTGACTTTGGGTCACTGCAAATAGACCTACACACGTGGGAGCTTGGAAAAGTTGGAGCTGTTAACTCTGAGTGCTGCTGAGAGGAGAAAACTTCAAAGGCAAGGGACAGTGAGAGAAACTAGTAGCCAATCAGAATGAAGAGGGATGTTTGAACAGAGGGACAGGGCCCATATAAAGCGTAAGATTTTGGGGTTTCTGGGTCTACTGCCTCTGTTCACGCAGTCCTTTGCCATTCTGGGAAGGTTTTTATAAGAGGACAAGAGTCAGGTGAGTCTGTGGTCAGCTAGACAGCTTGAAAGAGTTCGTCTCTGCAGCTGCTCTGTATGACAGATTAAACTCTAAACTCAAGGCCCAGCTTTCCTGATATATTCTACTTGTTTACTTTGAAACCACTTGAGGAGTCTGCCATCGACATGTGAGCTCACAGGTGCACATTTAAGACGTGAGTGGAATGTGTAGCCATGAGGGCCACTGTTTCCTCCCTTTCTGTCTGCACGGAGAGAGGGTGGGTTGCATGGAACTTAGCTCTCTGTAAAATAGGCCAGCAGGTCAGCATTCTTCACAGCCTAGCCTCTAAGATATACTGCTTTTGGAGTGTTCCTTTTAAAAAAAAATGCACATCATGGTTCTAAGGAGGCAAACTTTCAATGCATTCTTCTCTGGAACTATATTCTTGTGAAGATCAGAAAAAAAGAAGTATTAGTCTACAAATGGAGAAACTCCAACTTCCGAAAGATATATCTCTTAAATTGTGAGTGTTTTCTCATACCTCTGGGTGTAATGGCTCCTGGCATGATGCTTTCGTTGAGGGATGAAACTAACAGTATTTTAGAACAGTATTGGTGATGCTACTCAGTGATCAGTTCTCATATTATCCATGCCATCTATGCAGAGATTTCTAGCTCAGTTTACTCCTGTCATTCTAAAACCGGCTGAGATGGAAAGGCAAATCTCTTATATGCCATTCCTTCTCAACCGAGTGTTAATCTAGTGATAACTCTGCAACTATAATTGAAGATAGGTAGTTATCAGTACTGTGGTTCAATACAAATATAATCTATTTGGTGTTCAATTTGAGAACCAAGCCCATAGTATGCAGTGCTTTTGATTGTTTTAAAATAAAGATCAAGGCAATTAATAAATGTTTTCAGAGCAGAATTGGTTGAGCTGATGGATAAAAGGTGTATGCATACTCTATGCTCCACAATGAAGTAATTTAATTATATGTATGTAAGAAAGACATTCTTAAAATTGTTATAGGAGGGGTCTCAGTAAAGGAAAGATAGATTGTACTCATGATTATTTCTTATCCCTTAATCTCTTGATTAATGATTATCATTGAGAAAAAAATTCATAAGAATGTTGCTTGGCAGATGGCTATTGATTTTAGGGTATAGTCATAATGAAGAACTTGTATTTCACCGAGGGAATTTGATGCCTCCCAGATGTTACTGAAAACTCTGGTAGGGCTGGCTTGTAAACTTTATCACCCAGGAGTGGGACAGGTGAGAACAGGAGGTGGACGAAATGACATGGTTGAATGTAGTTCACTGTCAAGAGTCTAGCTTTTATTTGGAAAAGGAAGGTAGGCGTTCATAGGTGGTCAATACATTATTAAAGAACCTGCTATTTTCTTACCATAAAAATCTTATCTGCTTATCTGCTTTGCTTGCAGTCGTTAATGAAGAGAAAGAGGGTTCCACCTACTCCTTAAGTATCATATACATAGTCCTTTGTTTTTCAGTTTCTCGTTCCATTTTTACTTGCCATGTTAATCTAAATACACACATATATAACACACATCACAAATATATAAGTATATATAAGTATATATAGGAAGATATCTTTGTATATAAGGATATATATATGTTGGTTGTTTTATAGTGTTAAAATATTAATTTTTTGATTACATGTATTTGTGCATTATTGAATATTGATGTAAAGCCTTTTATTACTCCGAATACTTCTTATAGATTATCTTATTCTGAACTTCATAGCCACTGTACAAAGGTTATATGACCTGTCCAAATTCACACTTAGTCAGTGACAAACTAGGACTAGCAATGAAGTTTCCTGATTTAGAGCCAAGAGTTCTTTCCACCACAGCAGCTGTCAGTGGATACTGGAAAGCCAGAAGACACAGATTTGGCTCCTCTGAAGCTGAGAATTATAGGTAGTGACTGAAATATCAGCAGTGCAGTTGTTTTCCAGGTCAGCTCATCCAGGGAAGTTCTACCTGTGACTGAGATAAGTTGTGTAACTGATGATGTGTGATAATTCGGTATGTTCTGTCTCTATTATGTTATATTCCACTATCACCTGGTGCTATAGTTGCTTTATGTTTTTTTTTTATATTATGTTGGCTTTATATTTGATATCTAAATAATTTAACAGCCCTTTTGTTACACTGATGCAGTACGCGGTGTCACTGAAGGTATGCGGATCTGAAATCTTCAGGCATGTTTTCCCCAATTGCTAAAACAATGGCAAAGCAATACAGTAAAATTCTGTTTCCAGGACTGCCATTTATTTAGTCAAAGGAAATTTTATATGGAAATTAATGGCTATGGTAATAAAATCAACATTATTATTAAAAATTTGGTGATCACTTTTTTTAGACTTTCTCTTTTGAGACCATCTATTTCTTTTTATCTAGTTATGTTCAATAACAAGAATTCAAAAAGTTTTTACTTTATTCAACTAGAATTCACTGGCAGGGTTAATGAAAGAAATTTAAAGTTTCATTCTAAACAACAATATCTTTACAAACAAAATATAATCACAATCAAAATCAACCAACTTGTTGATTAAAAATTATCCATTCAAAATCAAACTACTGTTACCAAATGAAAAACAATAAAGGGCTTGCCGTAGTAACCTTGACATGATAATGAGTGTTTGACAAGTTCACCCTGGCATATCAGATGTTTAAAAATCTTTGTTCCTCTATGTTATAGAAACAAATTTCACAGAAGAGTTTTTTTTCTCACAAAATAAACAAAAATTGATAACCACTTGCATTTATGGGTTGGAGGCTGAGATGCTGTAACAAAGAAACCTGTCAGTCAGTTGTGACCACCTCTAGGGCATCGAAGCACATGGGTTCCTTCCTTAATGCTACACTGTCACTCCCTGAATGTCAGGCTCCTCAGCATGGCTGATGCTGGGTTACTGTTGTCACTGTTGTTTTATGTCAAAAGAATAGGAGAGGGTCCAAGGCAGATGTCTCTGAGGAGATGGCTCTGAAATGACAGTTGTCCATTCCACTGTCTTCCATTCCTGAATCTCATCAAATGAACATACTTGGCTGTAAGGGAGGCTGGAAACTTGGGAGGCCAAGTTCCTGAAAGGGAACAGAAACGGTAGATGCAATTACTAAAAGCAAATAGAGATGTGATCCCGGGGGTGGGGAGCACTAGCAGTACATATGACAGCTACAGGATGCAAAGTAAAATGCCTTTGTTCAAGCAAAAATGGTACCAACAAAGCATTCAAATACAGACAGTTAGCACGTAAGTCCTTTAAAAATTATGGTTCCCAAATTTTCTATGTATCATAACTTTGGGATAGAATATATACAAGTGCATGCAAATACTCTGCATGCAAATCTATTTGTATAGCTGGCTTTCTTTTTTATGAGAAGATATCAAAGTAGTATCTAGTATTTAATTTAAAATAATTAGAGACAACTGTCATTTTTAAAACTAAAAAATGAGCTTTCCTAAGTTACATTTCTGTTCATAATTTTAATTTTAAAAATATTTACTATCATTTTTGTATGCATATGCATGTGTGTAATTTTTATTAAAGTGGGCTATATACTTTTCTGCCTCTTTAGGCAAGATATTTTTACTAGATTCATTTGAATTCATTCATTCTTTCACTGAATGCATGTTGGTTGTGTACCTACCACTGCCAGTATATCTCAGACCTTGCACATGGTTTCAAGTATAATTTTCCTGATGACACAACTGGATAGGTCAAATTTTCTCTATTTCGCCTATTTAAAAACTTAATGTCAAGGAGCTTAGATAACATTGAAGATTAGTGACCAACTAGATTTCAGCCTTCAGTGTCTGCTGTGTCTTCTACTTTTCCTAGTCCTAGTTTCATTCAACTAATTCTTGCTAAGCAACTTTTTATAAGTCATGAAATAAGGTAAATAGTTTTTATGATTTATCCTTATTTACTCTCAGGACAATTCCATGAGGTAGATCTTTTTTTTTTTTTCCATTTTATAGATGGCACCACTGTGATTCAGACAGATGAAGTATTTTGCACCAGATTTCAGAGCAGTGGGTGACACAGGATTCAAGTTCAGAGCTGTGCTTTTTCAACTTAGAACATGCCTTTTAACTTTGCTACTTTCGTTGAACTCCAGTTTAGACACAGTGCAGATCTGCATTACCACCTCATCCTTTAACTTTTCCACCAATTTTATTGCAGAAATATCTTTTCAATACTCCATCATAGCTGCAGATACTGAACCATTACAACTGTTTTCTTAAACGTAATCAAATTATCTTCTTTTATTCTAATATCTAGACTGTCATGAGTTGGCCATTCCCAAATATGGCAAACTTCCTGTTACAGTTCTTCTAAGTTGAAAATCCTCCATTTGCCTTTTCATTTCTGTGGACTAATATCTCAGTTCATTACTTGAACATATGAGGCTCTAGCTTCATTTGTCATCCTGTGTGTCCCACCCAACCTAAATTCTATCCGTGCTAAATACTTTGCTACTCTCCAAATCCATGTGCTGTTTTGTACTTTTTGTACATGATGTTCCTGTGACTTAAGAGTAATTGTCTCCATTTTTTTCCCTCCCTGGCAAATTCCTACATGTTTTTAGAGTTGCATGTGGAATTATAAAATTATAAAATTTCTTCATCAAATGAAATTACTCAGTGTCCTTTGCTTCCACAGTACTCTCGTATGTCTTAGTAAAGTGTAGTAAGTGCCAAGTGACGTTCCTGACCTTGGTCGCCTGCAGGCAGAACCACCTGGGCCTTGCAAAAGCCTGCAAATATTTTACTGGGAACAATGAACCAAAGGCTGTTGCTGGAGTTAGCATAAAGGCAGTTGTGATGCAATGATTGACAACAAAACTGGTGACTGAACTCTAGACAAATCACAGTGACATATTGATTCATTAATTGTTCACAATTACTTATGCTTGCTTTATTGGATCTATTCACACTCTTTACCACATGATATTGCAATGCTTTCCATTAGACTAAGGATATTAGTGTTTTTTCCAGCCTCGTGGATGTTGGGATTAGCCACATGAGTTGCTTCAGTTAATGGGATGTGGGTAGAAGTCACAATATCAGGACAACACCCCAAGAGACATAGCAATTGGTTTACAAGGAGGCCCTCACCAGATTTGAGCCCCTTCACCTTGAACATCTAAGCCACCAGAATTGTAAGAAATACACTTATTTTCTTTATACATCATCCTGTTTATTTACAGTTCTATATAACAACAAAAGCAAGACCAGGATAGCTATCTACTTTTCCCATACATATATTGTCTAACCCAGCAAAGGCGTTTCTTATCCCACAAAACTATTCCTTAGGTACCAACTGATGTTTTTTATAAAAGTATTGTTTGAACAGCAGAAGATTTAAAACAATCTAAATGTGTATCACTTGTGTAATGGTACGGATTAAGTAAATATGTACCATTATAAAATGAATATATGCACATATAAAAATGAGAAAAAACAGTCCTCTATGTATTGATGTAGAAAATGTTAGAAAAAAAGCTAGATGGACAAAAGTGTGTGGTATGCTCTCCGTGGCTATGTGTTACACCTGCACAGATTCAACTAACCGTGGATTATGCACTGTACAGTTATAATGATTCCATCTGTATCAAACATGTTCAGGTATATTTTCTTATGACATAACCCAAAGAAGAGTATTAACAATTCTACATGTCACATACATTGTATTGGATATTATAAGTAATCTTTTTTCTTATTAAGTTTACTGGTACAATTTAAATATACACAATGATCCCATTCATCATAGGAAATTTGTATCTGTACAAGATATATCCTGTATCCTCTTTTGTTCTCCAATCCCCTCCCCTCTAACCCCTCTTCCTCTCCTTGTTTACAAAGGTTTGTTTCTATTTTATTCTTCTTTTATTTTACTGAAGCATGTGCATAGGTGATATGCAAATATTGTGCCAGTTTATGAAAGGGACTTGAATATGAATGGATTTTGGTATTCCTATGCACCTTGGAACTAGTCACATACAAATCCTGAGATTTAGCTAATCTCCTCTGTTTGTGGGTTACCCATTACAATTGTTGGTACCAGGAGAAAAATACTACTATTAAGTGTCAGATGTTTAGAACTCAGGTTTAACAGTTGCTAACTGATGTAATCTTAAGTCAGTTTCTTTTCCTCTTTGAAATTTAATTTTCTTTTTGGCAGAATTCATTAAGACATACAATTTTAATTCAGGATCATTCTGTTCTCTTAATTAGCAAATGATTAGAGAATACAACACAATCTTCACATGTACTTTCAAGAAACTTGATTTAGAAAACTATTCCACATTGGCATCAGAGCTCTTTGACTGTAAGCAAATGAATTCACAGTATTTTGAAATAGGCACCGAGTAGCTCACACAATCAAGAAAGAGCTGGGAAGACGAAGAAAGAATTTGTGTATTTTCTGCCAGGGAAGCTCTATTGAATGACTCCTTTCAACTGCCTTATGTGACTCTGTGTTTCAAATCAAGATTCAGTTTCTCAAAAGATATAAATAAATCTTTTGTAAGTCAAAAAAGAGTAGGGTTCTGCCCTTACAGTGACTCTAGGACCTTAAGTCATAAATATAAATGATTCCCTCGTGGAGAGATGCTGGACAGACAGAAAGCAATGTTTGCCTATAAAGCGTCTTTCTTAGTAATGCTGCTTCTCTGCCTTGTAGCTGATTGAAGCAGATGGACCCCATCTCAGAGGTTGTCAAGGATTGTTGAGTTGTACCCCAAAGCTTCATGTGCTTGCCAGTAGGGTTTTAGAAGGTGGCTGGATCATAGGTGTGTGATATTGGAATATCAATGTTGCTAACTGGATTTATAAGTCCACTGATTTGCTTAGCATAGTTGTGGGTGATCGAATTACTGAAGAATGAAGCCCTATTCTGAGTGTGGGTGGCCAACCAATAGGTTTGTGGCTTGGATGAAATATAAAAGGAAAGAAGGAAGTCAATGTTATTGCTTCCCACCTTCTGTGTGCCTTGCTATTGACTGTTTCACATCTGTCAGGCTCCCATACCTTACAACCAGTTGACAATGGACTTTACAAACTTTGTGCTAAACAAACCTTTTCACCATTAACTTGTGGATGTCAGGTATTTTCTCCCAGCAACAAGAAAATAACTAAGACAAACCTATGTGTCAAGACAGCAGTATGTGTAAAACTACCTGGACCTGGGCTAATTTGTATTATTGCAGTAAGAAGAAATTATCTCAAGCCATTACATCACTTGTGTAATATAACATTGAAGACTGTCCAAGGGGTGTGGGGAGTAATTCTTAAGACTAGTACAAACATCAAATTCACAAGCCCTCAGAATAGTGACTATGATATTCATCATCTCATGATAGTTAAGATATTTCAAAAATGTGTCAAAAGTTACTTTTTTTTCAAAGGAATATATTGCAGCACAGAACCTTTTATCTTCAAGCTATCCATTTATATAGCGTTTGACTTTCTTCACTAGGAGTTACACTCTTTGCTGCTTTATATTCTTTGAGATAGTTACTCTAGCAGTTCTTCTTGAAAACCTCTGTAGAATTGGTTTCTGAATCAGAAATATTCTCTTTGAACAATCAATACAATTCCTGCTTCATATAGGTAACAAAACTGAATCCCAAAGAGGTTTTACATAAAGTGACCAAGACTGCACACAGGTTATAATACAAATGATACAAGAAAATAGACATCCTGAATATATACCTTCCCTTGTCAGACAGCCAATGCAAACTTCAGATACATCAAGCCTATGGATAGAGAGGTAAGTCACTCACTACTTTCTGGATGTATCACATAGTTTTTGCTTTGTTTGTAATAATATTTCATTATTGTTTCAAAAACTGTCATCTCAACACTTTGCTAAATTTTGAGAGGTATAATCCCTCAGTGTGCTCCTGGTTACTCTCCACTACCCTTTAGCACAGTTTGAAAGCTTTATTACCTCGTTTGCTGTTTCTCTGTATCTTACTTGGAATAGCACCCTGATTTTCAGCATTCCTAGCTTTTGCAGTAAAAGGTTGCTTCATAAAACCAAAGTCTTCATAAGAATTATCCTGT